CTACAAATCTGATAAGTCTATAAACTATTACAATTGTCTGATCAGAAATAGAAATGATAAAGAAGGAGAAACACGAGTCTGCGGACGTCAAGCGGCTACCTCGTGAACTCCGAATGTCCGTCAGGAGCTCACAACTCGCACTGGCAGGATCAGCAACGCCTGAATCTGCACACAGGGGTACAGGGAGTAAAGTGAGTACTCCAACTCAGTAGTAACAAATGTAAATAAAGACTGAAAGCAAGAAATCACGGAAGGCACAAAGCATTCTATAATGAAGCAGTAAAACTATTAAAATCAGTAAAACAGTGAAAGATAGGTAAAACCCTTTAACTCAAATGTAGTTTCGTGAAAATCCCTTTTCAATAATTAAGCAGGTAATTCACAGTCAATTATGAAAAGTAAACACATAAAGGCTCGCCCCTCGGCACAGTATCAACAAATCCGCCCCTCGGGCAACATTTTAGAACAGTATCAACCCCTCGGGCAATCATATAGAACAATACCAGGCCTCGGGCTCATTCTCACATCCCAATGGGTACCCACGCTCAATGGGGGTGTACAGACTCCTCGAGGGTCCCTTTACGGCCCAAGCGCAATATCAAGCCACCCCGTGGCATCATCACTAGGTCCTCGACCTCATATCAATCAAGCCACTTCGTGGCTTACATATCTCAGGCCCTCGGCTTCATAATCAGTATCAAATATTTCCTCACAACATAGGTCATCGGCCTTACTCAGTCAAAAATCCTCGCAAGCCACTCGGGCAGTAGTAAAACATGTTTCTCAGCCCAAAATATCATTTAAAAGATCATTTAAGTGTTAAAACATAGTAAACATGGTTGAGTACGAAAACAATGAAATATAACATGACTGAGTTCGAGTATAAATCAAAACATTGAGGAAATACCGGTAAAAATCCCCAAAGGGTTTAAATAGTTGGCACAAGGCCCAAATATGACATTCAGGCCAAAACATGATGATAACAAATAGATTTCAATCAAATACGCGGTAAAATAGTCATTCGGGACGGATCAAGTCACAATCCCCAACAGTGCACAACCCCACGCTCGTCATCAAGCATGTGCGTCACTTCAATATAGCACTACGATGTGCAAATCCGGGGTTTCATACCCTCAGAACATCATTTACAACCACTACTCACCTCGAAACGGTCAAATCTCTAGTTTGTGATGCCTTTGCCCTTCGAATCTATCAAAAATAAGAACGAGGACGTCAAAATATGCTAAGGGAATGAAGCCCAAGTGAAAACAATCAAATAATACCAAAAATCTCGAAATTGGCCAAAACCCGACCCCCGGGCCCATGTCTCGAAACTCGATAAAAATCACATCACCATGAGTCTATACATATCAAGAACACTAAAATTGGAGTCCAAATGGCCCCTCAAATCCTCATTTAAAGTCTCTTAATCTCAAGCCCTAATTTCTCAATTTTTAGGCTTAGATCCATGATTTATTGGGCAGATTTTACAATAGAATCGATTTTTAAGTCCAAAATTCTTACCTCCAAATGTTTCCCCTTGAATCCCTCTTCAATCTCCTTCAAAAATCTCCAAAAATGACCAACTATGGAGGAAATAAACCCCACATTCGCAGACAAGACGACCTTAAAAACTTTCTGCCCAGGCATTAATTCCTTCTTCGCGAACGCGGTCAACGCCTCGTGTTTGCGAAGAACAAAAATGACTTTGAACAAAATCCTCTTACGCGAACGCGACAAGGCCATTGCGAATGCGATGGTTCCTCAGACTTACTCTTCGCGAATGCACTCCCTCTCTCGCGAACGCGATGAATAACTCGGCCACAAACACCGCTGACCCAATTCCTCTATGCGAATGCGTTGCCCTGCTCGTGAACGTGATGCATCACTTCCCAGACCTTCGTGAATGTGAAGGCCAAAATCCAGCCTTGACCAGCTAACCCTTCGCAATCGCGGCTCCTCTATCGCGAATGCGAAGGTTTATTGTATGCAACACTGAACAACAGATTTCTGCAATTCCAAACTTCACGAAATGGTCCGATTGACCACCCAAAACTCACCCAAGGCCCCCGGGACCTCAACCAAAGGCACCAACATATCCCAATAGCTTATCCAAACTAGTTCCAATCTTTAAAACACCTCAAACAATATCAAATCAACCAAAAACCCTCGGATTCAAGCCAAACTTTCTAAAATCTTCCGAATTCCGCTTTTGATAAAAAACCCAACCAAACCATGTCCGAATGACCTGAAATTTTGCACACACATCTCAAATGACACAACAAAACTACTGCAACTCTCGGAATTCCATTCTGACCCCTATATCAAAATCTCGCCTATCAACCAGAAATTGTCAAAATATCAACTTCGCCGATTCAAGCCTAAATCTACTCCGAACCTCCAAAACTCATTCCGCTCACACTCCTAAGTCACAAATCACCTCCCGAAGCTAGTCGAACCATCGGAACTCACATCCGAGCCCTCTAACAGATATGTCAACTTTTGGAACTAAGACCGATAGCGCTGAAAACTTTGCGGCAAGTGACCCTTTGAGGATCTCATAAGAATTCTCGTATTCCTTTTCACCACAAATCATACCCACTATATACATCTCATTATGAACATGTGATGGACTTTGGCTAGTGTCTACTACATCTAGATTTTGCACGATAATGTCACCTGCATCAATAAGCTTCTGATCTGCTCTTTTCAGATGCCAACAATTTTCTGTGTTGTGACCCGGGGCATTAGAGCAATATGTGCACCTTTGAGAATAATCTAAATTCTTTGGAAAAGGGTTCGACATTTTATCTGAATCAGCTTCAACATGTCCAATTGCCTGAACTTTTGGAACAAACTAGCATATGATTCTCCAATAGGAGTGAAAGTCTTTTCATTTTGTACTCCGCCTCGGTTGGAACCTCATACGGGTAGGTGTTTGACATGCTTAAGGAGGCGGGGACGATATTTGTGAAGGTGGTGCAAGCCATTACGAGTCTTGTGGGTATGGAGCATATGGCGGTGCATTGTGGATAGAGTACTGGGAAGGTAAGGCATGACCTTGGTGATTTGTAGAGGAAAGCAGCACTGGGAAGGATTATCTGGAGTACGAGGATATTCATGGGGTCAGTATTGAGGCTGAAAGCGTTTAGCAGGAATGCCCACTGGATCCTTTCGTTGGCGGGATTCAGCAGCATCTTTTCTATTAATCGGAGAACTGACCTAACTAACTTGTTCGTTCCATCTGAGCCAAAACTCCCTAAAACTTCCCTCGGGTTTCTTTTCCATCTGAGATAGGGAGGAGCGGTCTGGGACAATGTCTATATTGTACTGAAAGTGTCACATAAAATCTTGAGCCATGTCATCCCATGCATGCCACTTACCGACATCTTGACGAGTATGCCATTCCAAAGTTGTCCCAGTCAGGCTCTCACTGAAATACTTCATCAACAACTCATCTTCCCCGCCAACACCTCTCATTTCACTGCCATAACCCCTTAGATAGGCTACTGGATCTCTACGCCCATCATACAAATTAAACTTTGGCATCTTAAACCCTTTCGGCTTTCTAGATATCTCATCTTGCTCCACTGTCTTAGCGGGCTTTGCAGTCTCACCGGGAGGCTCAAAATGAGGAGCGTAAGAGTATGGACCCAAGACCTTGAAAATTGGTTCTGGAGCATAGTGTTGGGCATCGGGGAGGATCAAGGAAAGGTAGCAGGTGGATGAGCTACAAAAATATGAGTGGTCAAATGATCGGGATATGAGGTGGTTCTGGGGAATGGAGTCTGAAAAGGTTGTGGGGAGATATCCTGGACTTGTAACAATGGCGGAATAGTGACAAGGTTTTTAGTGTAGTTAGTGGGAACTGATGGTGGAGGATGCCCACTAATCTAGGCTTAATATATTTCGATCATCTGTCCTTTCAACCTTAAGACCTCTTCTTTCAACTCAGATTCTGATTCAACAATTCCCTTAGATGGATCAATAACCCCTGTGTCCAAGTCTTTGCTAGCCATGACTACCTTGTTCTTTGACATTCTGTTGTATGGATGAGTTACTTAAGAACCACAAACCAACCACCCTTCTGCTCAATGAAGATAACAAAAGGAACAAAATGGGGACATCTTGTTAGCATTAGGGTATTTAACAGCTAAAAATATCACATTGCATGCAATGCACGTAGCAACAATTAACGGTTCTAGAATGACTTCTAGGGTCACAAAGTCACTTGGCATCATCCCAATTTTGTTCATTTCAATCTTCTCTTTTCTTTCTTTTCTAGCATTTCTTGGCTTGCTCATTTTCCTTCCTTTTTTTCGCTAATTATCACTCTTTTCTTTCCTCTCATTTCTCACATCCCATAATTTCATCTCTCTTTTTTCTCTTTTTTCCTTTTTCTTTTTTTTTCTTTTTTTTCTTTTTCTTTTAATAATAAAAAAATGATTCGATCGAACCCTATGTAGGTTGCTTACGTATCATGATGCCGCATGAATCAGATCTTTGCATAGTTCGGGAAAAGTAATGGATAAATTAAACTAAAAAAATCTTTTTGGGATTATTCATTTACAACTTTTTTTTTATTTTCAAATACAAAACAGGAAATATGATAATGAGAGACTCAATTCAACTATACTACGACAAACTCCGACACCAACTGAAAGAAACATTACTACTGGACATGACTATAAAGTACAAGACAACATAAAAAGAAACAGACTCCAAACATAAAAAAAATCTCCTTAAGCAACTCCTGGATGCAGCGGTCCTGACTGGATGGTCCCGGGGTGTCTGTCATGATCAAACTCTGGTAAGTAGATCCACACATGTATGAGAAAACTGAAACCAACACTATGTGAGACAATAATACTCCCTATTGGACACGTGCAAGACATGATTGAGGCTATTTTTGACAAAACGGCTTATGTGACCAAAAGGTAGCTAGAAGTGCAACTCAACAAAAGTGACCTCTAAGACATGGAAAAATTACTTTGCAGAAATGCCCCATTTTATAGAAATGGTCTATGTGGAAAAAAATGGCTGAGCATTGCAAATTCAATAGAATGGACCTTAAACAGAGATGACACCTTGTTGTGGACCTAGGACTCTAAGACATGGGTTAATTGAACCACTTTTGTGAAAAAAGCCCTATTTTGCAAAACGGCCTATGTGGCCAAAAATGGCTAGACATGCAAATTCGACAAGGGCAGACCATTAAAGTAAAGAGACACCTAATTATAGAATGAACGCTCTCCAAACAAAATTAAACAAACCATTTTGCGAAAATAGCCCTATTTTTGCAAAATGACCGATGTGGCCAAAAGTGACTAGACATGCAAGAATTGGCTACGACCCTCGAAGCCAAGAACAAAAGAGGCACTAAGAAGACCGGACCCTACATACCTATCCTGCCCCGAGAGACGAGAATCAGGTTCGCATAGTTCGGGAAGAACTGATACAGGTGAGAATTAAAAATTAACAAATAATTTAAAGAAAATATATTTTGTCTCTTTTTAAAAAAAAATGATGAAACATGTAAACTATTTTTGTATTTTATTTTTCCTTTTTTTTATTTTTGAAAAATGATGGGAAAGTGCAAAATCTTTATGGATTTTTCATATATTTTTTTTGCCTTTTTCTTAAAAAAAATGTGAAAGAAAAACATAGCTAGGCCCTACTTGCTTAATTTTCACACTTCACCCTCTTTTTTTCTCATTTACCCTCAGCCATCATTGGTCCGCCAAATAACCCTTTTACCCTTGAAGAAATGCAACGTGTAGCACATAGGATGCATCAGGATAGTCTTTTATTTTTGAGTATACCTGTCCTAGACGGACCCAACCCCTGTGTTGCATCCCCAAAGTCAAACGCATGTGATACAATCAATCGTTCCTACTAGGGATCCGGCATGAGGCTGTGTTATTCTAGGTTCAAAACCTGGGTATATTTTTCTGGACTTGTGTACACGAGTGGACAACTCGAGTCGGGGGGGAGGGGGGCTACGTACCGGGAAACAAAAGGTCATCCGGTTTTGTAACTTGTCCAAACCTCTTTATAAATTTAGGGTATGACATTAACAGAAAAAGAAGTCACGCCAGCGTGCACTTCCCCAAAGATGAGAAGAGAAGGGTTTCGCAGTACTTTATATACAGTTTAAATAATATCAAAGCGGTAAAAAGCGGCATTTAGCACATTAGGCCCAAACATTTAATACAAATCAGATAATAAATAAAAGCCAAATATAACAATTATTCTAAGCTCGAATTCTTGAACCCTGAACCAAAGATTCTGGGTTCTTGTCCCCAGCAGAGTCGCCAGAGCTGTCACACCTTCTTTTTCTACCCCTGGAAGGGGTATTAAGGGAGTTTTTTTCCAATTTAAGTGACAATCAAAACGAAATTATTTTATTTAAAATCAGAGTCGTCACTTGAGATAATTTATGGTGTCCCATGTCACCGGTTTAAAATCACGAATCGTGGAAGTTTGACTCTGTATTATAGTCTGCGAACACAAAAATCCGGGTAAGAAATTCTGTTAACCCGGGAGAAGGTATTAAGCATTCCCGGATTCCATGGTTTTAGCACGGTCACTCAACTATTATTATTGGCCTAATTATCTGATTAATTACATATTNCAAGCGGTGATAGTGAAGCAAGAATTGAAGTTTGCCATTTCACGGCCTTCATTCTTTGTGTATATATTATTTCTTATTATCAGTTAGCTCTATCTATTATTGATTTATATATATATATGCAATGCTACTTTACACCGGTTACCTGCAACTTTGGCAAATAAACTAATTTGAAAGATCATAAGCCATGTAGGACAGTGAAACAACCAAACTGTATTCTTTCAATGAGATTAATTTCAAGAACTCATCAAAGCTTAAATAGATGTAAAGCTGAGAAATGGACCTTATGGGAAGCAGAATTTCCAATGCTAGCCTCTGACCAGAAAATTAAACCGCGATCGGAACTGGGATCCGCAACCTGGAATCGGCACAACTTAACCCCCAGTAATTTAATAGGTGCAATCTGTCCAAGACCAATGCAATCTGCACCTACAGCTTCAAACAATAGCCTCCGTCCCCAATCCACTTCCAATTGGATCTGGGTCCTTCCTAACGGAGAAGGCATAATTGGAACAAGGGTTTTGAGGGATACGAAGAATAGGGGAGTAATGAATGTTAGGGATTGGATTTGAACCAGAAGCAGCTCTCCAAGGTACATCATTCGGTAGTGTAGCAGCAGCTCCTCCACCCATTTTTTGACATTGAAAAAAAGAAGAAAAAGATAGAGCTATTTAGCAAGTAATTAGACTTATGCCTTTGTATTACGCTGTAAATGCAGAGGTTATGGAGATTAGCAGAGGATTACGACAAATGGATAAACAGAGGAAGGGTTTAGCAACAGGAGAAGGCGCTGATATTTGTGGTTTTGAGGTGACGGCTGTGTCTAGGGAGTGTAGGTCCTTGTTGAAGAAGATGAGCTGAAGATTCTTCTGTATTTTGTTCAACGGCTGAAGCCTAGGTCTAGGAAATTAGGGTCCTTTTTTTTAATGGTTTTTAGAGTTTTAGGGGTATTGGGCTTGGGTTATTATGGGCTAGGTCCGAAAATTAGGCCTAAAAATGGATTGTTTGAGCCCAAATTTTATGTTTTCTTCGTGAACAAGACTAAAAATACGACCTCATTTGCCAATTAATCCTACTTAAGTAAAATAACTATTAAAATACGATTAACCGTTAAAACAAACCTATTTTTTTAGTATTTTTCAAATATCATACTAAAGATAAAAATGGAATTAGATTAAAATCATTGCAAAAGGTAAAATAATATTCCTAAAAATAAAGTGGAACTATTTTTGTATTTTTAAATTTTATGTAAAGTACATAAATTAAAAGTGACTAGATAAAATATTAATTAGCTAAATAAAAGAAAATATTTTTTGTAGTTTTTATTTTTGTGATAAAATAAAGTAAAAGAGTCAAAACTAATTGAAATAGCGATATTAGGCCTAAAATAAATATTTATATGCTAAAATATGTAAAATCTTGGGGAGGGTCAAAAATCACATGTCTACAGCACCTACCGTGGCTAATGAATGAGGAGAAAGATCGAAGGTAATATTCGAGACTATATGAGTTGCATAAAAATTCTGGCATGTATGGGAACTAGGATGAGTTAAGTATGCACGCAACAAGGGGCAGAAAGACCAGGAAAAGTAATTGCACACGTTTAAAGAAAGCTGAGATGGAATGAAAGAATTATTCGATCAATGATCCAGAGTTAGTACGTTATGGATACACTTAAGATTTTGGAGCATTATCCAGGCAGCATATTTGTTGACAGTCATACAGCCATAGAAGACTCTGGTATAAGTTAAAAGAAAGAATTGAGCCCAGGGCCTAGACAAAGGATTGAATTGTTAGAAAATTATATCATGGATATTCCATAACGCCCATGAAAGACTAAGGTAATAACTGATACCATGAGCCACAGATCGGAAGATAGCTTAAGCCTACGTAAAGGCTGATTAGAAGGAAGAGGAAACTAAAGAATTACATCACCCAAGTAAATTAGGAGTCTGATTATTGGACGTAGAAAAATTATAGAAGTTGTGCTTGAGAATATGATAGAATTACTCTTAATATCAGATGTTCAAGAGAAATACAACAACCATAGTCTATAATGGCTCTACAAGGAAGCCAGTTAGAAAAGTACCAGTCTCATAAGAAGTCCGCATGAAGCTCCCACAGGATTGTGTATGCACCAGAGGTGCAAGTATTATAATAGAGCTTCAAGCTATGGACATGAATTTACATCTAGGTGGAAGGGAGGTCATAAAAGAGATAGAAGATACGATGCGAGATTTTAAGGTAAGTAAGATAAAGGTGAACAACATACGAGATACTCAAAGACAGAAGATCGTGAATAGTCCATACTTTGGATAAAAGGGCCAGAAGCACGAGGATTCATTATCTAGGAATGATAACAGCATCGTCGGCGGTATGTCTTTCAGCCTATGATGTCTCGCTTGACGTTCCAGAATAACATAAGGAAACTATGGTGCAAGAAAGTTGAAGGAAAGTTGTGAGTAGTATAAATGGATATATATATAGGTTGCAAGCTAAAGTATGACAGAGCAACAAAGTTTTAAGGAAACATGAGTAAGGACGAGGAAAGGTAAGTGAAAAGGTGATGAGAATGGATAAGTGCTCAGGATTAAGTCCATGGAAACAAGAGAGATGATGGTTTCTCTAAGTTATTGAAAGTTCAGTATAACCTGAATGAACTCAAAGGAGTCTAAGATTAATAGCATTTAGAAGGAATGAAATGTTGCTCTGATAATAAAATGAGGGTGAAATTGTGACAGATAAAGGATGATGTTTGGGCCTTCGTTTGAATAATGATTTTAAAAAAAAAGAAGGAGAAAGATTTCGTTGGCGGCACGAAATTAGGATACCCCCATAAGGTGAATCACATTGAGACAATATGAAATATGATTATGGGAATCACTTCAAATATTCCTCAATGCAACATAAGCCCTAGCGGCAAAGTATTACGTAAGAAGTTTCAAGTTATTAGTAGTATATTGTAGATCAATATTGAGGTGAATCAATAATAGATGAACAAAAGTCACAAAGTATGAGATGAGATTAGGCTGTCATTCTAAAGATGAGTAGTAACGAGAAAGCATTAAAGGACTTAAATTTATACATATGGAATAAGCAACGAGAGTAAGCTGGGATTTGGTAGCAGACCTCAACAACGATAAATTAAAGTAAGAGTTATGGCAGTAAATTCATACGGATGGCTAAACGGACCTATGTGATGAAATAAATATTCGTGAATTCAACAAAGTACCGAGCGAAGAACTTCAGTATACTCATAGATGCCCAAAGGGGCATCTTATCAAGCTATACATATGAAGCCTAGAGATTGGACACACTTACAAGGTCAAAATTGCACAGGCTACATGATGAAAGGTACCAACAGTTATGAGATTGGAAGAATTCCGACTACAAGTTGTGGTGTGAGAAGGAGGCCTAAGGGGGAAAGCCCTGGACTTTGGACTCATTCACAGAATAGTCGCCTAGATGGCAAGGGAAGTTCAAAAGTATTCGGAAGATATAAGTTATGAAAATGATAAGTGCATCAGTCAACATTCGAGGATGAATGTTCCAAAGAGGGGAATAATTTTACGCCCCGCTGTATTACAACGATATTATGCTCTGTAGTAATATATTACGATGATGTTATCCTCTACAGTAATATATTACGATGATGTTACGTCCTGCAGTAATATATTACGATGATGTCATGCCTTGCAGTATTATATTACGGTGATGTCACGCTTCGCAGTATTAAGTTACGACAATGTTGCACCCAACAATATTACATTACGGTGATGTTATGCTTCGTAGTATTAAGTTATAACGATGTTGCACCCCGTAGTATTGTACGTTGAATTTGTCGTAAGGTAATTGACATCAGTCCAAGTAAAAGATTATTTGGAGATTATAAGAATTATGTTATTTCACAAGTGATGAGTAAATTCGTGAAGGTGAAAGGGAAAGCAAGTCCAAGAAAATGAATTTTCATCAAAGATGGGCATTTTTGGGGTAAAATACGGCCTAAGCTAAAATACTTGGTATTTATGGACTAGTACCATACAAGGTACCACATGGACATGATAGTAAGGTGTATAAGGTATGTGAAAAGTGAGTAGTATTTTAAGTAAGTGGAAATATTTTTTAATTATGCGGGTAATTGGTTAATTACCGGATAACGGGATATTACCTAATTAATTAATTGATGATTGGATAAAGTTTAAATCCCCCAAAAAGGAGATTAAGTGGCATCCCTCCCATGTCAAGAGTGTGACTNAAAGACTAAATCTCCCCCCCCCCCAAACGTGGCAAAAGCCACAAAACTAATAAATGACTCATTAGTCTTCTTGAATAGGTCGCTATCTGTTACGCCCCGCAATATTATATCGATATTACGTCACGCAGTATTAAATTACGACGATGTTGCACCATGTAGTATTGTACGTTGAATTTGTCGTAAAGTAATTGACATTAGTCCAAGGAAAAGGATTATTTGGAGATTATAAGGATTATGCTATTTTAAACAAATGATAAGTAAATTTGTGAAGGTGAGAGAGGAAGCAAATAAAGAAAATAAATTTTTCGCCCAAGTTTGGGATATTGGGATAATACGGGCTGAACGTTAATACCCAGTATTTATGGACTAGTACCATACAAGGTACCACGTGACCATGTTAGTTAGATGTATAAGGTGTGTTAAAAGGGATTAGTATTCTAAGTAATTTAAGACAATTCTTAATTATGTGGGTAATTGGTTAATTATTGGTTTAATGAGAGATTAACTATATAATTAAGGATTTGTGGATAATTAATAAGTGGGGACAAAGTCCCCACATGGCAGCCCTTGAAATAGCTAATAAAGCCACCAAGTGACTCATATGATGTAAAGAAAGGTGTCACATTATTAGACCACATACAAGGATTACATTCCCTTTATAATATTATCTAGTTTTATAAGGTATGAAGTCAAATACCTTATCCACTTCACCATCAAGAATTCAGCATATACAGATGCATGAAACATCAACCAATTACAGGAGATAATCAAAAATTCCAAAAACTTAAGAGGAAATTTACCTCCACCACTTAGTAGAGTTGAAAAAATTCCAGTAAATAGGTGTGGTAGTTTAGATGCACTCAAATTCTAAAGATGCATGTTATGATAGATGCAGGCTGAAAAAGATGATCATTCAAATCAACGAAAGGTCAGTAACCAATCTTAACAATCTGAGGAATTTACGTTCCCTGTATAATATTCTTTTGCCTTCTAAGGAAGGTTTACGTTCTCTCTGTCACATAACAAGGTTTACATTTAAAAGCGATTGCATACGTGATTTACAATGGTCGTTGTTGTAACGTGAGATTTATCGATTTTAAGGAAGGATGGTGTAATCTTTCTCAAAAATATCATATGGAGTTTTCCTTACTTCGATCCTCTGTAATGTGTTTTGTCACAATTGACGTGTATTAGAGGGATTGTCAAGAGAATCATCTAAGGTATGTTAAGGCTATCCCTTTTTTCTTATGGCATGATCTATACGACACAAACGCAATGTGCAAATGCACAAATTCCATAAATGACTCTATTCATAGAAGTATTAGAGATATCTATGTTCTTGAATTTCCATGTGTCATAATATTTTATCATCTCTTCATGGATCTCAGAAAAATACGAAAGTTGAAAAGAGTTTACTTTATGATATTACTCAAGGCCAAAATGGTCTTATGACATTTCGAAAAATTTTATTAACGTACTTTTCATGCATTGCATTCATGTACATTGATCCATAACCAGATGGCATTATATATGCGTATATATGTAATTATATATATGTATATAGGATATGAGAAAGGTTATGACATTATATACGCACCACCACTTGATCAACTGGTATGCATTGATGATTTTTCCCACAGTGACCGAGATG